TTCTTTACACCGATTAAAAAACGGCTACTATAATATAGAAAATCTTTTCTAAATGTAGAACTAAATACACTGATATGCATTGAAATACATGATGAATACACTTGTCTTGACAAATGAAAGTGTAAAGCAGCTCACAACAAATGTGGAAGGTTATTGCGTGTCATATTTCAGAAACCGTTTACTGCTAATTTGATGTAATTTTGCTCACATGGATAATTGAATATTAATCAGATGATGTCATTACGCTGATGTGCCGTCAGCCAATTATGGCATTGCTGATCATGATTTCGAGGATGGATAGATCTGTCCTTCACAACACACACAGATCTCAGATCAGTTTATCCAGACATTCTAATCTGATTCGCGAACTTGTTTGAAGAACCAAATTAGCCAGAGATCAGTTATCAAGATTAAAAGATCCGGGATCTGCCAAATCATCTTAGATCATTTAAGCGAGGTACGAAGAACGGATCCCAGCTGTATGGCATGCCCAATATAAATAAAGCTGATTTTAACAGGAATTTCCGCAACACTGTTACTTTCAGCGTCTCATTTAGGTTTATTAATTATATCGCTGAACTTTAGTAATAAATAGTTTTAAAATGCTGTGCTTCCCACCTGCTTTATTCAGCTGTATTGACTTTTGGCACTTCTAGAGCGCTGATGAGAAGATGACGGATGTTTACTGTAACGGAAACGAAATGGCCTTAAACACCCAGCAAGCACAAGACATCAACATGATGTCAGACTGACGTTGTACCCCAATGTTGTCGGGACGTTACATATTGTTTGCTATTTACTATGCTCTTCTACGTAAAGCTGCTTTCACACAATTTACATTGTAAAAGCGCTGTACAAATAAAGGTGAATTAAATTTAAATGAAAATCGGGTTGACATCAGAACTCAATGTCAGACCAATGTCAACGTCCAACCAAAAACCAACCAAGTATCAACGTCGAATGATGTCACAGCTTGAAGTTGTGTGGACGTTACCACCATGACGTCTATCAGATGTTGGATTTTGGTTAATACCTGAATGAATAAATATTGACGTCAATATGACGTTGGTTTAAGATGTTGGCTCGACATTGGATTTTGGTCACTTTTTAACAACCTAAAATCGACCAAATATTAACGTTATTTAACGTTGTTATTAGACATCAAAATAACGTTGTCTTTAGACGCTGGCTAGACATTGAATTTTGGTCGCTTGACATCACAGCCTAAATCTAACCTAATATTAATGTCTTATGATGTTGTGTGTCTGCTGGACAATAACTACATGCACTACAGAATGTTACGTTTACACACACACACAAACTACATGTAAATTCATCAACTTTATACAACGTAATACTCACCACTCACTACTCACGAATATGAGTATGCTTTTTCAGTGCCACTGCTGATAATCTAAGGAGAATTAGTTGCAATGTAACTTAAATTCAACAAACAGACCATCAAAATAAAGTGTGACCCTATATTCATACAAACGATTACTTTATAGCACAAACTGAATCAGAAGTCACGCCACTGTCATCTCTGTCTACAACAGAATCCATTGCAAAGGAGAACTTCATACCGGACTTCCGGGACGGAGAGACCTTCTTCTCTGTTTTCGCCATCTTCTTCCCTGCGGCCACTGGGATCCTGGCTGGAGCCAACATCTCTGGAGATCTGAGGGTGAGAGCGAGTGTGTGATGCAGTAATAATCTGACATGACTGCAGCTAAATCATCATCTTCCCGTCTCTGGTTCTCCAGGATCCTCAAGGAGCTCTGCCTAAAGGGACTCTGCTGGCCATCTTCATCACCGGGGTCACCTACCTGGGCATCGCACTGGTCGTCTGTAAGTCCTGAACACACACACTCAATGGGAATAGCAGGAGATGGAAGCGCAATAAACTGTGGGGGAGGCGTCACGGTGGCACAGTGGGTAGCACAATCGCCTCACAGCAAGAATATCACTAGTTCGAGCCTTAGCTGGGTCAGTTGGTGTTTTTCTGTGGAGTTTGCATTTTCTCCCCATGTTGGCGTGGGTTTCCTCCGGGTGCTCCGGTTTCCCCCACAGTCCAAACACATGCGCTATAGGGGAACTGATCAACTAAATGGCAGTAGTGTATGAGTGTGAATGAGTGTGTATGGGTGTTTCCCAGTGATGGGTTGCAGCTGGAAGAGCATCCGCTGCAAAAAACATATGCTGGATAAGATGGTGGTTCATTCCACTGTGGCGACCCCTGATTAATAAGCCGAAAACAAAATGAATGAAAGAATAAACTGTGTGGGAGCAAACATTACACCCATGTGCATCATAATGCTCGCCTTGTTTACTATTGGTTGCTAGGTTACCAATACTACAGTCAGCCACTCTAATAGTGCGTTCACACCAGACGTTGATGAAGTATCAATCGAGAGTGATTTACATGTTAGCTCAAAGCAAAGATGCGAATAGACATCTATTAATAGCCACACCCTCCAACCATTAGTTTGCCATGACTGAAAGATAAAAGGCGGAGCTAAAAACTAAAACCGCGCCCCTTCTCAATGTTCTACTTCAGTTGTAAATACATCATGACACTAGAAGTCAGCAGAAACTTCTCTTCACACAGACTCTAACAGAGCGACTGCTGTTTTTCCGCAGCGGTCACAGTCGTCCGAGATGCGACGGGAAACAGAAACGACACCATTCAAGCCGGTGCGAGCTGCAACTTCTCCTCTGCCTGTGATTTCGGCTATGATTTCTCCATCTGCCAGACCACCAAATGTAACTACGGCCTCATGAACAACTTCCAGGTGGGAGAAATCAGACATGCAGGGTCTTTTGAGGTTTTATATGTACTGTATGTGTGTCTGAGCATGTTTATGAATGTCACTGGTGTGTGTTTGTATATATTAGTGTGTGTTGTTGAATATCATTGGTGTGTGTGTGAGTTTGTGTGGGTCTATGAATATTATTGGTGTGTGTTTGTGCAGGTAATGACTCTGGTGTCTGGATTCGGACCTCTCATCACTGCAGGAACGTTTTCGGCTACGCTCTCCTCAGCTCTGGCGTCTCTAGTGAGCGCGCCCAAAGTCTTCCAGGTCAGAGTTTTCAGCCACATCCAAACTAATATGTTCATTTATCATGCAAAATCAACGTTTGAAAGCTGTTTAGACAGAAGTGGGTGTAGGTATAGTGCGTCCACAGTTATATCGGACCGATAGAAACACAACAAGATTTTTTTTCTTTTATTTGCATGCATTTGTACTCTTTGCATGCATAATAATCAGTATTTTATTATCAATTTGTACTTTCAGGCTCTGTGCAAAGACAACATCTACAAGGCGCTCAAGTTCTTTGCCAAAGGTCACGGGAAAAACAACGAGCCGATCCGAGGATACGTCCTGACCTTCATCATCGCCGTAGCCTTCATCCTCATCGGTGAATATAACTGTGATTAGTATAATAGTGACTGTGTGATTAATGTGATGGAGCTGATGGTGTAACGGCGATTGGTTCTGTTTCAGCTCAGCTCAACACCATCGCCCCCATCATCTCCAACTTCTTTCTGGCCTCGTACGCCCTCATCAACTACTCCTGCTTCCACGCCTCCTACGCCAAATCCCCAGGTCTGTCTCACTTTATGGTACAGGTGCACACAAACACACGAGTGGCGTCATTTAACAAAATAATATTACTGGGATACTGAACTTAAGTACTGTTTGCGAGTACATGTACTTTACTATAACAATTGCTATAGCTGCTGTGTTGCCATAGCAACTGTAGAACCACCACAACAGATCAGTTACTATGGTTGGTGTTACCATAGCAACTGTAGAATCACCACAGCATATAAATTACTATAATTGTGTTACCATAGCAACTGTAGAATCACCATAAAAGATCAAATACTAAAGTTGTTGTGTTGACATAGCAACTGTAGAACCACCACAACAGATCAGTTACTATAGTTGTTGTGTTGCCATAGCAACTGTAATCACCACAACAGATCATTACTGTGTTTGTTGTGTTGCCATAGCAACTGTAGAACCACCACAACAGATCAGTTACTATATTTGTTGTGTTGCCATAGCAACTGTAGAACCACCACAACAGATCAGTTACTATAGTTGTTGTGTTGCCATAGCAACTGTAGAACCACCACAACAGATCAATTACTATAGTTGTTGTGTTGCAATAGCAACTGTAGAATCACCACAACAGATCAGTTACTATAGTTGTTGTGTTGCCATAGCAACTGTAGAACCACCACAACAGATCAGTTACTAAAGTTGTTGTGTTGCCATAGCAACTGTAGAATCACCACAACAGATCAGTTACTATAGTTGTTGTGTTGCCATAGCAACTGTAGAACCACCACAATAGATCAGTTACTATAGTTGTTGTGTTGCCATAGCAACTGTAGAACCACCACAACAGATCAATTACTATAGTTGTTGTGTTGCCATAGCAACTGTAGAACCACAACAGATCAGTTACTAAAGTTGTTGTGTTGCCATAGCAACTGTAGAATCACCACAACAGATCAGTTACTATAGTTGTTGTGTTGCCATAGCAACTGTAGAATCACCACAACAGATCAGTTACTATAGTTGTTGTGTTGCCATAGCAACTGTAGAATCACCACAACAGATCAATTACTGTAGTTGTTGTGTTGCCATAGCAACTGTAGAATCACCACAACAGATCAGTTACTATAGTTGTTGTGTTGCCATAGCAACTGTTGAACCACACCAGATCCAGTTACTAAAGTTGTTGTGTTGCCATAGCAACTGTAGAATCACCACAACAGATCAGTTACTATAAGTGTTGTGTTGCCATACCAACTGTAGAAATCACC